TATTGCTTTTATTTTGTCTGCTTAGCACAAATTTAGTGAAATCTTTTGAAATATTCAATATAGTATAATTGTTAGCATCGTACAAGGTTTATGTTTTATAAATGTGGTCTGGTAATTGGTATGAGGAATCCGAGGATTCACAATCACGGAAAAAATCGATAAGTTGTACTGTCCTGGATGGGCGGTGTTAGCAAGTAATTCTTTTGTTTTTGGTTTTTCCTTTGTGTTTTGTTGCCTAAATGATATATTAACTGCCCGAGACCTACTAGATGACTTGCTTTGTAATCACGCGATGGCAGGTGGTAAGTATTTAGTGACTAGTAGAGTAAAAAATGCTGGACGGATATTGTTGAAATCCGAGGAGCATAGCTTTTATTTTAAATTATTTGAAAAAATATATAAATTGAAAATGCTGGACGGATATTGTTGAAATCCGAGGAGCATAGCTTTTATTTTAGATGATTTAAAATTGAAAAATGCTGGACGGATATTGTTGAAATCCGAGGAGCATAGCTTTTATTTTAGATAATTTAAAATTGAAAAATGCTGGACGGATATTGTTGAAATCCGAGGGAGCATAGCTTTTATTTTAGATGATTTAAAATTGAAAAATGCTGGACGGATATTGTTGAAATCCGAGGAGCATAGTGTTTATTTTAAATGATTAAAAAAATATATATATAAATTGAAAAATGCTGGACGGATATTGTTGAAATTCGAGGAGCATAGTTTTTATTTTGAAATTATTTTAAAGATATTAATTGAAAAATGTCTGACGGATATTGTTGATATCCAAAGAGCAGATTGTGTTTTCAATTAATTTAAAATCTTGAATAAAGTGTTATAAATTATAAGACATGGGGTGTTGTGTCACTTATTTAAAAATACAAGGATTTGCCTCGGTCTCAGAATGTGACGAGAGGATGAGCAGAAAACTTTTTCGAAATAATTGGCGTGGAAAGAATTTGGCGACTGATCTTGTAATTTTGTTATTTTTACTTGAGACGTCTTTTCTTTTTGTTTAATCATATAAATATATAAATGCGAAAGTTTGGATGGATGTTTGTTGCTCAATCACGCAAGAACGGCCGAACGGATTTGGATGAAATTTGGCACAAATATAGATTTTAGTCTGGAATAGCAGATAGGCTACTTTTTATCCAGAAAAAATGTATGATTCCCGTGGGATCGATTTGTTTTTGTTTTTCACATAGCAAGGGATAGGGCATAATTTTTGCATAGTGGTAGTGTAAAATGAAAATTTGAAATACTGCTACTGAGCATAAATAAATAATGACGTGTTTCAGGATTTCTGGTTTTTTACATTTGAAGGGGGGAAACGGGGGTTAAAAGTTTGCATAGAAGCATCGATTTTTTTATAGGTAGGAACTTAAAAATTGGAATTATAGCTACTTATCACAAATAAATGATAGTGTGTTTCAGGTTTTTGGTTTTTCATATTTTAAGAGGGGAAAGAGGGAAAAGGGGGGTAAGAGGGGAAATAAGGGAAAGCAGGAAAATAAGAAAAATGAGAAAAGGAAGGAAAATTGGGGAAATGTGGAAAATGTTGGCGATAGGAATAAATAAATAGGAATAAATAAGAATAAATAAATAGGAATAAATAGGAATAAATAGGAATAAATAGGAATAAATAGGAATAAATAGAAATAAATAGGAATAAATTGAAATAAATAGGAATAAACACGAATAAATTCGAATACTCATGCATTTTATTTTTCATATTAAAAACACGACTCCACGCGTGCAAAGCCGCGGGCAAAAGCTAGTATTTTTATAATTTAAAATAATACAAATTAATAACAAGTCGTTACATAAAAAAAATATTTCGATAGCGAAATATATATCAGTATGGCCGTGTTAGCAGGTAAACAAATTTTTGTGTGATTACTCATAGTAGTGTGGTGTATAGAGCAGCGGCAGTCAAGAGCGGGGGGTGCGGGGAAACGTTTGCGGTGGCAAGGTACCGCCGACACTTCTCCAGGCAGAACGAGGTGAGTTGCCTTGAGTGTCGAGTGTGTGGTCAGCTGTGGCTGTAGGCGGTTGATTCTCACGCATTGTGTTCTATCGATAAAATCATTTGGTAACTAAATAATTATTTGACTTGATAATTAATAAAATCTAAGATATACTAATAAAAGTTTAGTAATAGAGATTAGAGATGGACAATACAAATATTTTCATGGATCCTAAACTGTTGGAACGCCTATCCTGTTATTTTCTAAGTTTTAGTGGTTTAATGAAAAATCAAAAGCAAGTACAGTGTGACAGTTAAAATTATACGCTATTACTCAAGGTTAGGGTAATTCAAAAGCATTTTACGTACTTTTATTTATACAAAATATATTTTGTAATTGAAGAGTCAAACGTTCGCGCCTACAAATCAAAAATAAATTTATGTCTGTGTATGAGAGGAATGGTATGAATAAAAAAACACATAACTAGATAACTTACGTGATCTGGTAAAACAAAAAAATTAATGAAAATGGCCGTTCTTAGTGGCTTTTATGTCAACTGAAGTATCAGTTCTGTTAAATACACTAGTGACATTGTTTAAGAGTTATTACTGAAGTAATTAATGATACTTTTAGCCAACTGATGACATCAATTTAGTCACGTGTGATACAAGTATTGTTAAAGACTGTATCTCTTTTCTATTTCTTCACATTTTTTCAACAAGGAAATTTTGTAATGAAAAAATATTAATGTGCCTATTTACATTTGATAAATTGTTACGTAAAAATTTTTTTAAAAAATATAAGAAACATATATTAAAGAACATTATGTTATGATGAATTTAAAAATTAAATTTTATAAATATTATGAAATATTTTTTAAAAGTACATAACAATCCGGGTAATAATTTTAAACGCAAATATTAAGCTTGGTATTTGTCTCCAATACTTAAATAGTACCTATGTTAAAGACTCTATTTATAAGAGTTGTAAAACATATCGCCCATCTCTTGACCACTGGTGGCTTTTTTTATGATTGTTATTCTTTGCCAATTATTGACTAAAAATACTATACCTATATTACTATTTTGAATATTAACCAAACGAACATACCATACATATAAACCTGTTCACTTATATCACCTGCTGTTTATTATTATTGAATTGTTATTTTATCAGTTAGTTGATTGTGAAGAATGAATATAAATATCTTAGTGTTGCTACTCAAATAGGAAACACCAGGATTTTTTTAATATATGCAAGGAAATGGGATTTGTTGAATTGAAGCTTGAAATACCGCCCTCCTAAGCCAAAAAGCGGTAGGTGTCTAAAAAAAAACTTTGTTTTTTAACGCATCGGATAGCTTGAAAAATTCCGCGTCAGATGAACTAAGAAAAATATCCATATCTCACTCAGAACATAAAAAATTTACTCTAAAAAAAATGACTTTTGGTTTTTTAACGCATCGGATAGCTTTAAAAATTCCGAATCAGATGAACTAAGAAAAATATCCATATCTCACTCAGAACATAAAAAAAAACTAAGAAAAATGTACATCAACTTCACTTGTATTTATTAAAAGGCTTAGGGATGTGCCATTAGTACTAAGCTAAATAATAAATAATTGCATATCCTTATAGACCACAATAATTTCAAAAGTAATGTTAAAAAACAAAATAGTACATTATATACCTAGGGTGAGAAGTGAGCTATTATTTACCGAGCACTTTTATATCCTGAGGCGCGTAGCGCCTCAGGATATAATGTGCGAGGTAAATAATAGCTTTCTCAGCCGAGGTATATATAGAATTTTTTTTTACTACTAACATTAATGTATTAGCAATTTTAATTTTGACATAAGTAATTTCCTAACAATTTGTTAAATATTTCGAAATATCAAGCAGACTGGAGCGTGTTTCTAATCAGACTGGCTTTATTTATGTAAAAATTTGGCATGTGTCAAATTTTGGTATGATTCTAGGAAATATCCCATTGCATTTTTGATATTTTAATGACATGGATTTATTGTTATTAATTAATAATTTTTAAAGCCGGTGTTGAATTTCCTAGTTAATATATATTTTTACTATTAACACTGATATATATTATCATATTTGATTTGATTCGATTTTAATAAACCCAGCTTTAGTTATTTCCTACTTATTTTTCAAATATTTCAAAATATCAAGTAGTCTGGGAGTTTAGTTGTCAAATTAACAAAATGAAACTAATGAAATTTAGTTTCATTATTTACCTAGGTTTTTTTTATTATCATTATTTACCTAGGGAGAGAAATATTACTTCTCATTAGAGGAATGGAGTAAATAATGGTGATTTCTCATGTTAGTAGTAAAAAAAATAATTTAAAGCAATCCCTAAATTATTTTTTTTTTTTGACTCGAGGGAACGCGAAAATAACTTTTAGAAAATGTGTTTTTTTCTCGAAACTCGCCTCAACTGAGATACCGCTTTTTGGCTTAGAAAGTTACAATAGACATTGGATGTTTCACACACTTGGTTACAACTTACAAGATTAGTATGTGCCATTTTTAATTGAATGTACGTACCTGGTATGTAAATTTATTGCTTAAAAATGCTCATTGTTTTCATAAATATCATATACATAGGCAACAAAACTTCCTCATATGGATAGGCATACCACTTTAAAAAATATTAAGAAATATAAGTGCTTGCAGATATGCCTAATCCAAGTACCAAAAAGTGCTTTATTAACAATATATCCAAGCAATAATTAAAAAAATGTGTAACTCATTTCTCATCTTTCCTATTTCTCTTTTTTAAGTTAATAATGGTCATCCAAACAACTAAATATCTTCATTTCAATATTCTAGTAAGAGATCATTTAAACAATAGACACGATTGTTAGTTTCTAAAACATTTTTTGGCAAATGGATGTGATTACTTTTTTTTTATTTTTTTTTTAGGTTCAAAATCTAGACAAACCGTTTGGTTGATGTTTAACAATAAGTCAAAAAGTGTTAATTAAGAATTTAAAACACTACTTGCCTGGTTTTCTAGGTACACCAGCTGGGATGATGATTACATTAGCATTTTTTAATGCTTCTTTTAAATTTTCAGGTCCATTGAATCTTTAAAAAATACATATATATAGAATTATTTTTAATGTTTATACAGTGAGAGGATTAAGGTTTACACCCCTTGTCAACTCATTTATTTTAAAGAGTAAAGAAAAATGCTAGAACACGTTGATATTTAAACTCATCCGAGTATCCAATGGTATTAAAATTTCTGTAACATCCAACTTCTCTTTTTTTTTTAATTGAAAATGTAAAATGACTGTTTATTGCATTACTTTTTATTCAAGAGCCCTCTAGCGGGATCAAAAACTGTGACATTTCATTGGTAATTAATTTTATTAATTTAATGCACTACATAATATTATCTTAAGTCTTAACTAAATCAAAAATTAACTTAAAATGAAAAGACTGTAATATTACTAACTTTGATACAGTCCGATACTCTGATGAGTTTAAAAATCGACATATGTAAAATGTTAATGAAAAATTAAACGTTTTTAAAGATATAAAAACAAACAACTAATAGAAAACACGCAAAAAAATCAAATTCTTGGCCACACTGGTGTTTTTAACAAACTAGTTTTATTATTTTATAAGGTTAAATTTTAATTATATAGCTTGAGTCATTTTTTTTACAGAGTGTATAATTCGAAAAACTACTTTCTGTGGTAAATAGACTTGCATGTCTGATGCCATCCCATTACAAAAAAAAAAAAAAAAAAAAAAAATTCGAAAAACTAAACAAATTTGCCAAGTAATTTTTTTCATAAATTAAAAAATTAGATATATTGCATTTTTACTAGAGCCAGCCATGCCATTGGCAAGAACTTTAATTAAACAACTGAATAATTTTAGTTTAGTGTTTCAGTATGTTTTAATAGTGATTTAAGGATTTATCTGTTTTGTAATGATTTTATGTATTTTTTTACCTATAGTAAATAAAAATTAAGTAACTGCTTTTTACTTAAAAATGGGTAACAAATTTTGAAATAGCAATTGCTTAACTTTTATTCCCACTAACCAATAACGAATTTGTGGATATTTATGTGATTATTTTATGGATAGTGTCATGAAAAAGCAAATACTTCATCTAGGAATAGGCATGTACTTCTTATTATATTATTTTCCAAAAGACACATTATGGATTGTCAAATGGTTTATCTCTATGCAAAAAAAAAGACATTAAAAACAAGAACTCAACTTTTGAAGTACCCTGTGTATATCACAACTTAAGTATTTCCTCATAAACTCAAAATTACTCCATAAAATTTAATGTGTTTCGGTAAATATTTGAAAATAAAATGATTAAACTTAATTTTCATGAAGTAATTCTGTATTTGAAATAAATCAAATGTTTGTTGAGATAAGTTGATAAAACTTATTTGTTGAAGTTTTTAAAATGTAGATAACATTGATTATACTTCAATAGGCCGTCCTTCGAAAAGATCACATTGGTATAGTTTCGTTCTGATACGATCTATCGGCGTAGTGTTTACAGTGATAAGAAATTTCGCCCAGGCCTCATTTTTACCGGTATATATTAGTCATTCTAGTTCTTACGCTCGAACGGTGAACTTTAACAGTGAAAATGCCAAAACGAAAAGCGGATCGTTTACGAAAAATTAAGAAGAAAATGAGGAAATTGGAAGAAATGTTGAGAGATGTATCAAGTAAGTACATAATAAAATAAATTTGATATCTACATTGCAGTTAAAATAAAAGAAACTAGAGGAATGTTTTTATGGTACTTGTTTTTTACTGGGTAACACCGTAAAAACATACCTTCCTAATGAAACGAATAAACAATGGATAAAACCATTTAAATATTCTGTGAATTTAATATACAGGACGATATAAAAGACCGATATTTTCTTAGCGTATAGTTTTTACTGGGTAACACCGTAAAAATATGTATACATAAAAATAAATATAACAATGGGTAAAACCATAGTTATTTTAGGTAGGTGCTTGTTATATAGGGTAATTCAAAAACACGGGCACATATTTTACTGGGTAAAACCGTAAAATAAAATAAAGCAAAATAAAAACCACAGAGTGGTGCTCCCAAGGATATCGAAAATTTATTTTTATTTAGAGAGTAATACCCTAAAATAAAAAAAAAAAAAAAAATATATATATATATATAAACACATCCCTTTCTTAGAGGGTTAACAAAAAATTATTTTGTCAACAGGTAGTAGTGACTCGGAAAGTGAAGATTCCGTCTCCGGGTCCACTTCTTCTACCTCCTCCATAGGAGAAACACCTATCGCAGCCAAAGATGTAGATGCAATTTTGGGAGAAAACCCAGAACTTTTGCAGAAGTATGGACAAGATTTGTCCGATGATTTAATAGCGAGGTGGAATACCTATTTAACCAAAGGTCTCTCCAAAGAGAGTAGACAAAAACTCTTAGCAGAGTGGAATACCCCAAAGAATTGTCCACTCCTAAACGCTCCAATACTCAACAAAGAAATTGAATCGGCCATACCACCATCAGACATAAAAAGGGACCAATATTTGAAGAATTTGCAGAGTATAATGGGAAAGGGGTTAACAGCCCTAGGCCAATCAATTTCGACAGTGCTCGCAGATAAAGATAAGTACGACCAATCGTTGACCACCGCACTTGTTACTAGCGGCCAACTTTTAACGGATATGTTTCATACAATCTCAACGCACAGAAGACACGTACTAGCACAACATCTTAACCCCAAGGTACAAAAACTAATACCCGACCAACCAATCGATGAAAACTTATTCGGCACCGATTTCTTCACCAGATGCATGTCTGCAAAAGCCATGGCAGAGTCGGCCAAAGAAATAATGAAGGCAAGTACATCCCAGTCTTTAAACTCTGCGCGCCCAAACTACAAAACGAGACAAAAAATAGTGACAAAGAAAGCAGGGAGGAGGAGACCGACGGAGCACAGCAACCGCAGGAAATATCAGAATTGGAGCCAAACTAACTTGCTCGAATCTCTTGGTTTCATTATAAATAAAGAAAAAAGTACTAAAGTTCCAAAACAACAAATTAAATTTCTAGGATTCATTTTTCACAGCAATAATTTGATTATGTCTATACCAAAAGAAAAAATACAAAAAATTCTAGCTTTAACGAAAAAATATAAAACAAAAAACTATGTAAAAATTAGGTCTTTTGCTAAATTCATAGGTACCCTTGTCTCTATCTGTCCAGCAATTTCTTACGGCTGGCTTTACATAAAATTATTTGAAAGAGAAAAATACAAAAATTTAAAGAGGAATAATGGGAACTATGATGCTCAAATGGTATTGCAAAATAGCTTACAACCGGATTTTCAATGGTGGTTAGACCACTTAGAATCGGCAAACCAAAAAATTAAAAGTCAAAATTTCTCAAAAATTATTTACACAGATGCTTCTGAGACAGGCTGGGGAGCCGCTTGCGATACGCAAGTAGCCAGAGGTTTTTGGGACTCAGTTGAGGTTAAACACCATATCAATTACCTTGAATTAAAAGCTGCTTTGAATGGTCTAAAAAGTTTTTCGAAGAATTGTTGGGATGATGATGTGTTACTTAGGGTTGATAATGTTACAGCAATTGCCTACATTAACAAGATGGGAGGGGTTCGCCATCCAAAGTTAAACAATATTGCACGTCAAATTTGGCAATGGTGCGAAACGAAAAACATAAGGTTATTTGCTTCCTATATCAACACAAAACACAACACAGTCGCTGACAATCAGTCTAGATCAAATAAAGTGGAAACCGAATACACATTAAACAATCGTGAATTTTCAGAAATAATAAAAAGATTAGGACAACCAAATATTGACTTATTCGCTTCTTATTCTAACAAAAAATTTGTAAAATTTGTCTCATGGCACCCTGACCCCGAATCTTACGCGGTCGATGCTTTTACAATCAATTGGAGCGAACACTTCTTTTATGCCTTTCCTCCATTTTCCCTTTTGTCCAAAGTTATAAACAAAATAATAACAGATAAAGCAGAAGGTATTATTGTTTACCCTATGTGGAAAACACAACCTTGGTACCCACTGCTTTCAAAACTATCAATATCGGAAACAATTTTACTATTTCCAAGAAAAGAACTACTTTTTTCTCCTTTCAGGAAGCCACATCCTCTCTGGAGAACCCTTACCCTGGCTGCAGCAAAATTGTCGGCGAAGCATTTAAATCAAGAGGTATCCCAGAATCGGCAATAGATGTAATGTTAGCATCATTAAGTGAAGGAACCCAAAAACAATATAATTGTACTTATCGGAAGTGGTGGAACTTCTGCAGGGGAAAAAATATCTATAATACGGACCAAAATAAAATTATTCTTTTCCTAAAACAAGAATTTGATCAAGGAACTAATTACTCGACATTAAATACTCATAGATCAGCTCTCAGCACACTCCTGGAAATAAAAAATCAGAACAACATCGAGAGGTTTATGAAAGGTGTATTTAGGAAAAGACCAAGCTTTCCACGTTACAATGAAACGTGGGATCCATCGCCAGTACTGGCTTATGTTGAAAGTCTACAACCATTGGAGACAATTTCCCTGGAAAAAGTCACCACCAAGTTAGTCTTACTGCTCGCTCTAACCACAGCTCAAAGAGTGCAAACCCTATCTAAAATAAAAATAAAAAATATTAATCACCTTGAAGATAGAATAGAAATCAGAATAACCGATTTTCTTAAATCCTCTAAACCAGATCAGGCACAACCTCTTCTCGTATTTCATTATTTTCAACAAAAAGAACTATGTGTGGCGTCAGTTCTCAATCAATACCTAAAAAGGACGTCACTGCTTAGAGGTAGACACAATGAACTTCTCATAACCGTCAAAAAACCCTATCATCCAGCTTCTTCACAAACAATTAGCAATTGGATAAAGAAAGGACTATCTGCAAGCGGTATAGACACAACCAAATTTAAAAGTCACAGCACTCGCCACGCCAGCACCTCAGAAGCGTTTAGAAGAGGTGTAAATATTGAAAATATTAGACGTGCCGCGGGTTGGTCAAATAAATCTAATACGTTTAATTTGTTTTATAAT